ACAGATTTCCAAGTTGCATTATTCCCCAATGCTTATATATATGCTCTTTATAATTGTCCCTATCTATGCTTTAACCTTGGGGAATAAAACAAAAACCAAAGCATCAGTTTCTAACAAGTCTCCTTCTGTTGCGGCATCAGTAATCTTACATGATATTGATACATCATCATCCTTCAATACTTACGCACTGCACCACTGTAAACATTTTTTGTGACTTTATGGGGACGTCCCTGCAGTTTTGTTGTGTGAGTCCGTCCCACAAGTGTTAAGTCTTGTGTTTGGTTCCGACAGAGGTTCAAAGATATGTCTGGATTCTCCCACCCATCTCTCTTTTCAAAGCTGCCATGCACGCAAACCTCTACCCTGTCCATTTTTATCGTCAGGTTTCACACATAAAAGAAAAATAGAAAATTAAATTGAACACATTGGGAGGGAATGGTCCGAATGGAACAAAATCATTTCGGGACACTCCTTTTTTCTTATGCCACTTTCGTTTTTTAGTGTTTTTTATACTACTTTGGTTTATTCAATTCAAATGTTACAAACAAATAAAACATGTAAGAAAAATAGTTTGTAAAAATTAAATTAGATTTAACATACGTTTTTAGTTGTGCCACCACAATAAAGTCATCCATAAAATGAGGTACGTATCAAAACTCAAAATCTCTTACATCTGGATAAGTAGAACCCAAAATTTCTCTAAGTAACTAAAAGCAGCTACCTCTAGATCAATAGTCCTTTGTCATCTGTAGTATAAGCAATATTTTCAAAATTACATATATCACTTTTTTGTTCGAAGAAGCACTTGAATTAGAAAATTATGCGACTTACAACACGTGATTATAGAAAATTAGAAATTAGGGATCAATTTCGATTGCAAATTGTGGCAAATGGAATGAGACAAAAGGTTAGCTCCAAAACAAAACATAAAAGGAAAAATGAGATGGGCAGATTTGTCTTATTGAGAAAAAGATAGGGGTATCTAATGAACAATACGAGCAAGAATATAAATACTAATCTTCATGCGAAGGTATTTTTTAAATCATTGTATGATATACGTAATTTACACGTTTTAAATGTATTTATATACGTAAATTGATAAAAGGAAAGTCAAATATTTGAAGGAAATGAATAATCTTAGATCATGCTAAAAGAAATCCCTTATAAACCAATTAAAGCAGTTGAATCCACATAATAAAATCGATCTCTGTTGAATTTATATTAAGAATAGAGAAAATAATATTTAATAAACAACTAATTGAATCACATTATTGCTAGCCCATTGTGAGGCTAAGCCCACCCCTCCTTCTTACTGTAGATAATATCGTTTGTTTAAAAAAAAATCATTTGACAACTAATTTTGATCACATTATTATCCGTGTGCAAAAGACTTTTATTATAACCGGCATTACACACCTCTTAAGATATTTTGAAAGTGTTTAAAAATAGAGAAAATAATATTTAATAAACAACTAATTGAATCACATTATTATTAGTCTATTGTGAGGTACTAATTATTTTTATTTTTTTAAATTGTACAAAAAAATTTATTTATTAAAAAAAATATTGTTAAAATGACCAAAATACTCATGTCACATTTGATGCATTATTTTGGATTGCTTTTGAATTTTTTTTATTTGAAGAGCATTTTTGTCCAGTTCTTTATAACGAAGCTTATGACACTAAAAAAACACTGTTCATTGAGCCATTGGCTTTATATATAAAGATATAGAATAAAAAAGAGAACCATACAAAGTCCCACGCCACTAAAGCTTTGGTAATTACTTTTCCTTGCACAAAGGAGAGAGATTTTTCAATCTGACTCGAGCACGGTGCTAAACACTATATGTTATTATATAATTAGAGGAATACTTGAATTTTGTTTTATTCAATTGTATAATGATATGTGTCGAAACATGAAATGGTACACCATGTATCATTATACAATTGAAAAAAGATTATTTTAAGCGTTGATCTAATTATATATAATAACATATAGCGTACCGTCGGTATTCTAGACACATGAAAAATCTCACCTTCTTAACGAAAACTTTCTCCTTTTTATGGGCTCTATAAATTCCCCCACCAAATTTTGATTCCTTGCTTTGTGCTTTGGAGGAAGAAGTAAAAACTCACTCTCCCATAAATCAGAAATCTCTCTGAATCTTTTTAAGTCCAGTAAGCTCAGCTTTTAAGTTTCAACCCCAACTCTCAAATAATAAGCTTCTCTGTTGCAAATGGCGATCTGGGTTTTGCTGCTTCATCTTGTTGCTGCTGCCCTTGTTCTACTGTCACCCGCAACTGCAAACCTAGAAGGTAAACATGCAAAACAAGTTTAACTGTTTAAGTTTATTAGTTAATCACTTTCTTAAACACATGTTTTTAGACTATATATTCAGATGTTAACTCCAATTAATTAATGTGTTAAAACCCTTGTAATGTTTGTAATGGAATAATCAGGAGATGCTTTGTACGCTTTGAGACAAGCTGTGAAGGATCCGAACAGTGTTCTGCAGAGCTGGGATCCGACCTTGGTTGATCCCTGCACTTGGTTTCATGTCACCTGCGACGGCGACAATCGGGTTACTCGACTGTAATTCATCTACTCCCTTTCTTCTATTTTATTTTTTCAATTTTTTTTAAAATTTGATTCAAGTTTTTCTTTATTTTTACTTTTTGGTAATTATAGCTTTGGCTTAGATATGTTGTGTACTTTTATCTGCTTGTTAGATTCTCTAAAGATTTCTACTTGTTTTACATTAATGAGCTAGGTTGTTGCTTTTTTCATCTTTTTATTATTTATTTATTTTTATTTTTTTTAAATTATGTTGGTTTGAACGCAAATTATCATGAACCTATTAAGCTTAAGTTCTTGGTTATTTAATTTTTTTGCTTGGGTTGCAATTTTTGTTTGTATTATAAACTTAATCATGTATTTCTATACAGATGAAGTAATTAGTGCTTAAAATAATGTGTTGCAGAGACCTTGGAAATGCAAACCTGTCGGGCAATCTTGTACCCGAGTTGGGGAGGCTCGAGCGCCTTCAGTACCTGTGAGTCTCGCAATTTTATTCGGAACTCGTTATTAGCGTTCGAAAAAAAATCGCCATGCATTCTTCCAAGTGTCGATAGTAGCTCCCTTTCGTTTTTCTTACTTTTCTTGTTTCTTTGGAAGTGAGTCGGTCTGGACTCTGTAGTGTGGACCTGGTGAAGGTTTTATTGATTCATAAAAAAACTTCAATCGATATGAGGTGGAATTTAAGAGATCTTCTCCGGATTTCTTTCACCAAGGTCTTCGGATAAAGTGATTCAAATCTTTAAAATTTGATCCAACGACTTAAAACAGAGACCATTTTAACAGTTATAATAATTTTAACCGTTGGATCAAATTTCAAAGACTCTAATTACTTGATCTGGGACATTGGTGAAAGAGATCAGGAAATAATCTCTTTCCGAATAAATTATTAATGTCACCAACCCCACCAGCCAGACAGTCCATCACCGTCAGATTATGGACCATCATCATGCACCATTAATTTTAGAATTTAATGATATATTTCTAGATTTTCCTGTATTTTGTGATCAGCGAGAGCATTTAGTTTTAGTGACTGATAGAAAGTATTGGTTGGTGTGTGTCTGTTGTATGTATTACAGGGAATTGTACATGAACAACTTGATGGGATCTATACCAAAACAACTTGGAGGATTGAAGAGCCTTGTGAGCTTGGATCTCTACCACAATAACTTCTCTGGGTCCATCCCACCCTCCCTATCCAACCTCTCCAATCTTAAATTCTTGTAAGCAATAATTTATCTGAGACAATGCACTGGTCAGTCGCCCATGCGCAAGTGTTCGTTTATGTTATTTCAGCCATTAATCAACGGCTGGAATCTACCCACTCGTACATGGACGACTTTCTATATCAAAAGATACCCTTTGCTTAGTAGCTCATGTAAGTACGTTGCATGCAGGAGACTGAATGGTAACAGATTGACTGGAAGCATACCTAGAGAGCTTACCAAACTTCAAAGCCTCAAGATACTGTGAGTCATTTCTCTATGCATTCCCCACATTAACCTTTCATTACTTTCCTTCGAGAGAGGATCCTCGTCGGATTCTCTTTGTGAGGATTTCGAAGATCCTCAATTCATATTTGTTCCTCGCAAATCGTGCGGTCATAAATTATTGTAAAATTTTTATTTAAAATTGAATATAAACAGTACTTGACGAAACTAACCGCACGATACACAATGAACGGATATGATTAGAGGATCTGACGAGAATCCTTTCTCCTTTCCTTCTCCTTCTAACTCATTAGGGTTACATTAAATTAAATGATTTGTGCAGTGATGTATCCAACAACGATTTGTGTGGTACTTTCCCAACCACAGGCTCCTTCTCCAATTTCTCAGAAGAAAGGTGACTAACACACAAACATAATTAATAACCTTTATTTTTCTTTGTTTGTTTGGACTTTGGAGGCTGGATTCTTAGTGGGTTTTGTGTCTTTACTGTTTGTTTGGGTGCAGTTTCAAGAATAACCCAAGATTGGAAGGGCCAGAACTGATGGGATTTGTGAGATATGACAGTACCAGAGGAAGCTGCAAATGATGTGTGCCACCACCACTACTACTGCTACCCAAAAGGCAACAAAGGGTTGCCATTTAGCAATTGGGAATCTACACTTGTATTTAGATAATCCGTTAATCTATGGGAAGGGTTTTTGTGTTTCACTAATCAATGTGATTACTACAACTTAATTACTACATCAAGCGAGTCTTCACACTAATTCAGCACAGATATTCTCCATTTGAGCCTGGTTGCTTGTGGAAATGGTTCAATTTGAGCCTGGTTACTTTTGTCGATGGGTATCTTTTACCCGTCGAAAAATGAGAGTGTTAATCATGTTAGGCATGTCCGGAATTCTCACCCCTATTTGTTGCCAAAATACATGATCATTCTGAACCTACGATTATATAAAAGAATTCTCAATCTACGATTGCATAAAAAAATGAGTAAACACTTGATTGCTGGGGATGAATTACAAAATTCCTCAGATATATTTACATCTGTGCAAATAGCTACTAAAACTGACAAATCATCAAATATCATCAATAAAGATATATTTACATCCGTGCACCTCTAGATGTGGAAGAGAACGCAATCTTTTGAACCTCTCCACAACAGTTTGTTGCCTAGTTAGAAACAAATGTCGCCGCCGGTGAATTTAATCAGTCTCCGCCTGCATTCAACGAATATGTTTCGACTTAGAAACAAGTAATTCGGTGCCACAACAACAGTAATTGAAGAACAAGGTGCATGATAAATTGATAAATATTTAGTCCCAGAAGTTGCTTTTCAGTCATGAAGTGCATAATAGCGTTAGTCTAATAGAACACGACCTCAACGTTCATATTTGGCGGCATAAAAAAGAAAGGGTATAAGAATGTTCAAATTACCTCTGAATTGAACAGCCCGCGTGACAATCTCAGAGCTGGGTGACAGTGGGTTAGCTGTGTTAGGTAAGGTTATTGGAGTCAAAGGAGGTGAATTGTCTGGCATTTCAGGAATAGGGGTAGGGGAAGCTTCCTGTGGTTCAGTTACATGGAATTCCCCCGCTGTATGATCCCTTGTAGGTATAGAGTAACTACGAGCAAGGACCCGAGGAGGTTTTGGCAGAGGAGCTGCTTTTGGTGACACCACTGTTTTATTTGTTGCTGATTGCATTTGTCGTCTGGGCGCCAAGGGAGCTGAATAACCAACTAAACCCACACGTCTTGAAGCCTTGGAGGCAACCGGTGGCCTAGGAAGCTCATGAAGTTCACTTATTTTAGGAGAGGACATAAAAGTAGGCGAAGTATTTGGAGACACTTTAGGTGAAGTTGACAGAGGTTGAGACCCTGGATTGGGCAAAATAGGTCCAGAAAACATTTGGTGCTGGAACGAGGGGGTAGGTTTGGAAGCCCATGGCTCACTTGTCAATGGACCTGAGAATGCTTGCCTTTTCATTTTTTTTAAGTCAGAAGCAACCAGTGGATCCTGCCCCGAAAACAGAACCTGACCTGGGAGAGGAGGGGGTAATCGATAAGGTGCAATATTATTGTTGCTCTCTTTGAGTACCGACGGCACATTTATAAAATTGGTTCCAGCAACTTTCTTCTCTCCCGTCTTTTCATTCCCTGGTTTCAAGGGTGACGAATGCCACAAATTCTGTGTTCGCTCACTTAAAGTTGTCTGTACAGTGTGGGGCACTGGCATACCTGATCCAGTAGAAATTGGTTTCTTATCAATTGGTGTTGGTAGTACATATGAGTGGAACTTCTGTGAGAATGATGGCTGCCTGTGTCTCATTTTTTCAGCTCGATCTAAATTAGTTTCAGCAAAGAGCGGAGCTGATTGGCTGACTCCCCTACGCTTAAATGAAAATGAATTCCTGCAGAGTCTGTCCTGGAAGTAGGCAAAACGATACAAGACATGTAAGCTACAACAAATTGGAAATGTGAAGCGTTTTCAAGATAAATAAATAAACAAAAAGTCATCCACATCGGAATTTAGCATAGTAAAAAGTTAAACAGTTTCTACAACTGCATAACAGAAGTTTGACTGTTGTATATTTAGCATGTGATGGGCAGAGCTGAAAACATGCAAGAACCAAACCAGTCAACAACCGTAGGGGATTACAGTACAGCCTTAAGTTATATAACCAAGACACTGTTGATTAGATAAAAATACACGAACTTCTAAAACTAGTTATCCGCACAGAGATACCACTGCAGGAATTTACCTTCATGCAATCAATCAAAAGGATATGATAGATTAATTCCAATTATAGTCTTATTTTTTATGGGACCAACCAAATCCAACCATGCATTTTAAGTGCATTACAAAGTGCATGACACAAACCTGAAATATTTGCGAATAGATGAATTGATAACAGAGCAGATGTTTACCTTTAGAGCTTCTACATGTGCTACTTTGGGAAAGGTAATGTCCGCCTGATCCAACTGCATTACAGATACGTTTCATGTCAAAGTAACATAATAATCATGACAAAATGTTTCAGCAACTTGAAAGTAAAACATGACAACAAGGTCACCACGTCCACAACAATAACTACCAAAGTGGTTCCGAATAAGATTTTTCTAGCTTACACCAATAGAAGCATTCGCCATGACAAAAGACCAAAAAGAAAAATCAAACTCTGGTTATTCTTTATACTCTTTCCTTCAATATTCATCTGGTTAATACACCATTATTTGCACAACAGATATATATGTCCATGTCTTGCTTATGAGTTGTATGCATGTGCAGCTGGATTTACCAGCTCTATTTTTTATTCCATTTTAAATGCCTTTCAAGGGAACAAATGCAGTTTAGCATAAGTAAATTCCACTGAAGTAATACCTCCATTGAGTTTCTTGAAGTAGAAACATCTTGATCTTGGTCATGTTTTTCAAGGTCAAAGCTCAATTCTCCATCATCATTCACACCAAAGCTATCATTGTCATCACTCTCATCATCATCGTTGTCACCATCCCCTTCATCATCTAGCCCATGGAACTCGTAATCAATATGCTTCTTCTCAGTTACCAATTTCACATGTGGCTCTACTGACTCAACAGACCTAAGTGCTTTCTTGAAAAAGGACAACTGTTTCAAGAGGAAAACAAAAGGAGTAAGAGCACTTTAACTAAGATGAACAACAATAAAAATGGGAGGAAACAAAAAATAAAAACCTGAGCAGCATGATGGCGAGCTGCCTGCGTGAGAAGACTACGAGATTGTCCTTGCTTCAGAGATTTCAACCGGAAAACAAATAATGTTGCCTCCTCATCATATTCATCGCGAGCCAATTGTATTTGCTGCATAGAAAAGCTTTCTCCTTTCCCACCACCTCTTGACCTCCCTTTTTCTTTGTATCTCTTTATCATAAAATCATATACATCTCTGTAGATCATAAGCCATATGAGAACACATTCAACTAAAAACAGATATGCAAATATTGTTTGGAATACCTTTTTTCATCACATTGTAGTTTCATCTCCTGCATCAACATCAAAGAACAAACATCATCTTAACATTATGCGAATAATATGTGCACCCAGAAGCAATAACCCATGTAAAATTGTTAATTACATCATAGATTGGATACACTTGTACAGAATTTGTGCATAGAAATGCATATACAACACTTTGTATGAGCTTATTAAATGATTGAGCCCAAGCAAACACACCTCAACTGTTTGAAGTTCATTCAGAAGAGATTCTGATGGAACCGCAATTGTCTGGAATATATGAGAGCGCTGCAGTATGCACAACAATGAAAATTTTAGTAAAGCAAACTCAATGAAAGGTTTCTTAAATTTTTTGTTTTTTTTTTTTTTACATAAAACGATAAAGCCTCACATAGCTATCAACAAGTTTATGGAGTTCATATTGCAGTTTCCCTAGCTTCAGTAGAACTGAACCTGCAAGAGAATTGACAAGTAAAAACGGGTTTGTTACTTTTCCTCAAATTTGATAGACCAGACAAACCTTATAGGTGACCAGGATGCCAGAGGGGAGAAACAAAGTCCAACGGTTTGCTTACTACTTGAAGATAACTCAGAAATATCCGCATAAGGAACTTTTGATCTTACCACTTTCTTCATCATCATTTAGTGCAGTTTTCTGAAGAAGACAAGAACCCATTTCTCGCAGCGACTCCGAAAACTCTATAGACAAATTGGAAATGTATAAGAATACTATTCATCAAATCAGCATTCTAATGATCAAATTTAGAAACCCAATTGGAGGAATGCAGAAACAATTATTATCAGCTAAAATTAATAAATGTTGTTTCATATAGAATACAGTTGATGTGAATTATAAAAGTGTACAAGTCATACAAATAAGTTAAGAAAAATGATAATTTTATACCAACAAAAAACCAAACCAAAGGAAAAAACAGAAATGGAAATACCATAAGCGCTATTAGCTGTGGCGGCAGCTGCAGCAAGTAAGCTATCATAGCAGTCCCTCATATCGAGCATATCCTGCAATCAAAAACCCAATTTTTAGATTAGGTCAACCCTCAGATCCACCACCAATTCTCAAACCTAACTAACCAACTCCGCCCTGCTTCCAAACCCTACAATTCCAAATTTGATGAAATTTGGGGGTTTACGCATCGAGCGTCGTAAAGTCGGAAGCTTTGGTTTTGGGTCGTCGTAAAATATCCGAGCAAGGAACGAGGAGGGGGACGGCGGCGTACCTTGGAAGCCTGGGCGAGCTCGTCCAAGTGCGGCAGCGGCCGGAGATCACTTCGGTCCTTGGCATCGTGCTTGTGAAGTGCGAAACCTCGCAGCTTTCTGAGAGAGGTTTTCATTTGCCCTTCCTCTTGAATTCACGGAATTGAAATTACCCCACAAGTCTTCCCAAAGCTCTGAGCTTTTCCTGCAAATGCGCGAATTCAATTCAACAGCCGATGGGAAGAAGAAGAAGAAGGAGTTTAATACGAATGAAGGCTAAAATGTTAATCTGGCAAATTAATAGTAAATTGGGAAATGTTTATTAAGTGCTTTATTACATCATCATCACGATTGTAATTGGGTTATGATTAATTAATTAATGTGAAAATTAGAATAATTTGTTGGTCAATTAAGGAAATTAGGACCAACGGAAAGATGAAGAAGAAGAAGAGAAGTTGGTCTATTTCTCTTGGGGTGGCGATAAATTAACTGCTAATCCGAAAATTATGCGAGGTTGACCGGCTTTCCGTTGACTCGTCTTCTTCTACGGAAGAATAATTAAACTGGTACGAATCCTACCGAGTCAGTGCGTCAGCATTTGCGTTCGCTTTCGCTTTCGCTTTCGCTTCTTCGTTGTTGCTTCTTGCTTTTTCGTTTGTTGCTTCTTCTTTTTTCGTTGAAAGATGATTTGCATTTTTGGGACTACTATACAATTCTACGATCATCATCAAATACCTATATGTATTTCAATTGTCACGCCAACGTTCAATTATTAATGCATAATGTTATATGAACTTAACTTATGAATTGGACTAGCCGTGAAACTGTTATTTAGTCTCAATTTATCTTTTCAAATTTTCGTTTTGTGTCATTTTATTTATTATAACTATCATTTTTTAACTGATTTGGTCTTACTTCACCCCATTCCATTTAAGAAACCTCAAATTCAAGGGTGTTTTGGAAATTTCACTTTTTACACACCTATTTACCTCCAATGTGCCTACTAAAACAGTCTCAATTTCAATTTTGATAAGTCTAATTCAACCCATGAGTTTTGGGCTTTTTTTTGATAAATTATTCAATTAATAGAAAAAATTTGGAAACAAAATCATTTTAAAACTATTAAGACATTTAAAATTATAGTGAAGAAAATAAATGATTACAGTGCTTTTAAGAAACACTAAAATGACAACCATTTAATCAAACATTGATATTGTTTTTTACTTGGGTGATTTTTCGCAAAGATGATTATTTAGGAAAGACTTAAAAATAAAAGGTTCATATCGTTGAAATTCAAGTGGACCCGACAAAGTCTCCATTTTTTAGAAAATAGGAATCACTCACCTCAAGCAACCTGGTCTAAGTAATAATATTATTATGTTATTAGTATTATAGTATAGTAGTATAAGATCTGATTTTCACATAACCAATTTAGCCCCAATTCCAACAAAATTAACTTTTAAATTTTATTTCACTTGATTGTAATTGATTCTTATTCAATCCGCATAAGCAAAATAAGGTGTATAGCCCAAGTGTCCTAAAGTGGCGAAAATATTCAATCAACAATGTGTAGCTCAAAATAAAACTATTCTTTATTTATGGTCATCATATTAAATGAATCAAATGAAAACAACAAACATATTAAAGGAATGTGTTGAATAGAAAAATGATGTATGTTTATCATTTTCTTAGCTAGTAGTATCTATCTCTATTTGTAGGTGAGAAATTTCAGATTTGACCCACATTGATGACAAATTCGATAACTAATTATTATTACTGACCAATTATGTGACTTAAACTTAAAAGCATCAACCCTTAACATAGATTATCGTTGTACTAAAAATATTATTATTTAATACATAAATACAAATGTTAGACAACATGGGCATAAAACCTTCTCGATTTGGTTTAATTTATTTGTACTATCTTTTGCGTGGAACACCTGTTGAGGGTAAAATTGCGTGTGCGTTTGAAAAAAATAGCGGCGTCAAAGGTGGTGAGGGTGAGCCCGTGAGCGAGTTGAGTACCAAAAGCCAAAGGGAAAGGAATCGGTGGTGGAATTTGGGAAATGCAAAGACCTTTTTTTTTTTTTTTTTTTTTTTTTTTTGAAAAGCTGCAAAGACCTTTTTAGGGTCAAATATATATGCGCGTTTCTTAAGGGGCAAGTCTCAAGTCTCAAGTCTCTCTATTATCTCATCATTCCATGCATGCTTTTGACAACGTGCTGTGGTATTGTGGATGCCATGCACCTTCATATGAAACAACAAAATCAATCATTTTGTGTTTTGCTTTTGGTTATGTAGTGTCAGGGAGATAAATCACCCACATATAGCCAGTGGCGAATCCAAAATTTGAATATCAGGGGCCTCAATGTTAAAGATCTCAGTTTTTTAAAAGAAACTAGAGCGCAAAGTGCGTAAAAAAGTTTCAGTTTATTCACTAAGACATTTCATTGAACACTTGGTGGGCTTGTTGCCATCAACCGAACTATTTTGCGCACATGTCAACAGATATCGACTTATACCGAAGCAATTTGAGGAGTGTCATCGAGTGTTCTCGATGCAACCTGCCGAGTGATGTCGAGATATGTCTAGATGGTGAGCACAAAAGTGACCTATACCAAACATTAAAAGGGTTCTCGGAAGACCTTCACATGTATATTTTCCGAATCCTGAGTGGTCATGTGACCACCTTTGTCCCATTGCACATCCCCCACTGCATATCAGTTTATAACTACATACGTGCGAAAATCATATTTTTTTTCTTCATTTATAAATGGCAGGTCTCAAGTCCGACTGTCATGAATAACAAATTCTTACCTACTTTTAGTCACAGCTCAAATCCTCACATCGTTGTCATTCTATCAAAATTCACTAGTTGGTGTGTGCTTACTAGGCTACATCTCCCCTTCGACGAAAATCATCTACATACCACTATGATTGATCATTTTCCACACTGTTTTGAATGTAATTCTGGGTCCAATTTACAAATTATCATCACACGCTTTATCGACAAACGATAACGACCCTTAACGAAATTCATTTGCTCGATGCAGTCTTGCAAATCAGCTGGAAATGATGCTATTAGGTTCAGAAAGTCATCGTCGAAAATTCACATTCGAATATATTTAATCACATTCGCATTAATTTAACGACGTATAAAAGTACATTATTGGTATAAACAACGTATATAAGTAAATAAACATATATTATATGATAATATTTGACTAATAAAGAGTTGATTGGAACTTATTGCGGCATGTGACCATCATGTTACGTGCATGCAGGTTTATATATGTGGAGGAGGAGTTTGTCATCCAGCCAGTCCACAACCGCCGCCGTCAGCTGTTCCACCATCCCAAGACCTCAAAAACATAGTTAGAATTTGGGAATACTCGCGCTTTTTTGAGTCTCATACACATATAAGGTTAGGATTTGGAGACACACAGTTTGACACATGTTTTTTGTGGGGTTCATTTTGTTGTGTATTTCAACAATCTAAAGCATATATCTTTATATGTTACCTCAAAGAGTATGTCCAACAAAAATCAATCAATCCGAAGCAAAATATGATCGTTTGATTAAATTTAGTGTTTTTTTTTTAGAACCATATTCGTTCATTTTCTTCACTACCAATGAATGTCTTAATGGTTTTGGATTTGTTTAATTTTTTTTCAAGGATGATCTACGAATAATGTACTCAAATATAAACAGTTCAGATTGTTGAAATACATTACAAAATTAGTGTCAAAATGCCTGTTAAAAGCATTTCAATATATAAACTATAAATAGGAGTGGGTTACATCACCACCCTCTTTAATTAAACACATACATTTCTATTTAATTCAGTGGGATATTGTACTGTAACTTAATTTGTACCCACCACGGTACCAGTACCATACCACCCACCAATATCAACATGTATAAATAAACAAATGAAATTGTTTTGAATTTGGGAATTGAGAGAGATTTGCAACAATACGGAGCATTCACAAATTGGTCAAATTATGAAACCGATCTAACAATCAAATTCAGTACAAGCAAAAGGACAGTTACGTGATTTGCAACAATACCGACATCTTTGTTTTCAAATGTGATTCGATGCGTCATAAAAAGCTAAAATATTGGTGAGATGCGCGTCCTTCAATTAAAAAAGGGGGAAAGGGGATGCCGTGCGCATAATTGCTGCTACTTCTATAGCCATTGGCATCGTGTTTCTTAACATTTTTTATCTGCTCAACAAAAACAAAGAGAAGGCACAAAGCTTGGTGGGTAAAACTAAATCATACTAACTGCACCATTAATTTCAAAATTCAAATATTTCCTTCTCCTTCCTAACATTTTATATTCACGATTCGTTTCGGTTCTAAAATCATAAACATCTGCAGTGTACGTCGATCAGGCATAATTAACTGAAACACACCAACTGGGACAAAAGCCACTGGAAGGGAAACACTGAAGTAGCGGACATTGACGTTTGCCGGAACAAAATGGTGTGGTTCAGAAATTTAAGTGCATGAAACCCAGAAAATGGCTTCCAAAACACAATCGGTTTAATGTGGATAGCCACACATATAAACAAAACAGTCAAAAAAATATTCTCGCCCTTGTCAATGTTCTCCCAAGTTATTTGACAAGCAGTTCTTCCCCGCACGGGATGCTCTTCTACTGGTTATTTGACAAGCAGTTCCTCCCCAGAGGATGAGGAGAGAAATGATGTACAGTCTCTATACTTCCTGAAAGAAAGCACAAACAACATAATCACACAGATAAGAAACTGGCATAAACTCAAAAAGCCAAAAAATTCTATGAATCCCAGCATAACCTAAAATTTAAGCGAAGAACGTCGGTAGACATGTAGCACCAAATCATTCTATGAACCATAAAATAACTTGTAACTAACCTCGATCTGGAGAAATTTCTGCATTGAAGCGGTAAAATTAAGCACTTGCAGCCAATGAGGAAGCTCTGTAGCATGCTCTCTTTGCTGCACGAACAATATCTTCGACCTGTAAAAACAGATAACCAAGAAGTAAGTGGCACAGCCTATAACCAAGTCAATGGGAAGAAACCAGCAACTGAATGACTGTTGCACCTACGGACCAACTACAACGCAGTACCCTATTTCATTGGAGAACTACATGAATACGCCATACACTTATAATGGATACAAACCATAACAATCTGAAAGGGAAACTAACCTGAGGAACAGC